GGGGCTCGGTGGGGAGGGTGGGGACGGGCTGGGTAGAGAGAGGAGGGGAGTGTGGGGAGGGACTGGGTGGGGGGGCTGGGTGGGGGGTGGGAGGGGCTGGGTGGGGGTGGGAGGAGCTGGGTGGGGGGTGGGAGGGGTGGAGCTGGGTGGGGAGGGGCTGGTCACCCCGTGGTGCCCTTATAAAACTCAACGTTTAACCTACTCACGCCGGCTTGTGCCCGCCCTCACAGTCGGGGATATTTGCGGAATACACCACGCCGCCGTTGACCCTGGCCGTTGATCTACGTCCCTTTGGCCACGCCCCGGCGTATGTCCCGGGACATTTTCTTCATTGGTACCGGGGCTCCCGTGCCTCTGCTCCCCACCCGGCAGAGCCCAGCTGATGAGCGGCAAGGCAGTTGACAGCCTCTTTCTCATCGTGTGAGAGGTGCTTGACGTGCGCCCTAACCCCCTGGACCTGCCCTCGACTCTAGGAAACGAGAGTTATTATCTCTTGGTTACAGTTTATCATACGTAGCGAGTGCGATAGAGCCGTGCATATATAAGGGACGACATGCAATTCAGAACTTTAGCCATCTCATTTAATTGCATCTCGCGTGTGCCGTAACGGAACACCATTCGGCCATTGTGCCTAAATAAGAACATTTGCGATCGGCGAGTGTTACCACCCATGAGATAGATGGAAAACGTGGCCCCTGACCGAGAACATGGGTGCACAGATGAGACTTGCGCGGAGGCATGCGGAGGGACGCGTGCCCGTGGAGTTTTGCCAAGAGACGAGCCGAGTAAGCGAGCGAGCGAGCGAGCGCGTGGTGCATCACGGAATAATGCAAACTAGAAATGTCATTGACGTCGCTCGAGGGCCCGCCCGTGAGACTGGTGATGGAGTGGCAGCCAAAGTGACGGAATCCTCATCTCCCCGCAGCGCCGCCACTGCATCACGGTGCTGTGGTGAACATGCAGCGATGAGTTCAAGGTTCAACTCCTAGCCTCCTTCGCTCCATCACCAGCTCCACGGGAGGGGGGGGCGGGGGGTTGATGGGGGGTGCAGGGGGTGGTGTCACGAGCGAGCAGCTGCAGGGCTGCACCCGAGGAGTTCCATTCCTGTTCACGACCAACTGCGGTGCCGAACATTTGAGCTGGTCCTGGGCCTCCCCTAGGTCGACTCAGCATTAAATGAGTACCTGGCGTGGTGCATAAACATCACCACTGGGGAGACAGAAGTGGCTGTGCGCGGTGTTGGCCACTCACCATAACAACACTTGCCCCAACAGTCTGCCAGAAGGGGCGATCTTTGGCTTTGTGTGCACAAGCGCCCTTTGAGCCCGTGTATCCTGCATTGTGAGCGTGTGGCCATTCTGGTCTGTTTGTGTGTGTGATTGTGTTTGTGTACGCACGCAGCGGGCTGCACGTGTGGCTGTGTGCAGCCTCGCGGGCGTGTGTGCGTGTGTGTGCGTGCGTGTGTGTGTGTGCGTGTGTTTGTATCTGCAAGGGCTGTTGTACCCCCTGCGTAGTGGTGACGTGTCTGGGTAACCCGACCCAAGTCAGCACGCCGCTGGCGTGCTGACTTTAGCTCCGCACTGGCCGTCGAGGGGCCTCGCTGTTCAGTGAGCAGCACCTTAGCGAGCCTGCAATGGCGAGCATTCTCCGCCGCCTTTGTCTTTCCAGATAATAGAAATTGAGTACATTTGATGGTGCCGCTATTTTTCGTATAGTGCCGGGCTATCATAGCGGAGGAAGCTGCTACGATTCACAGTCTGCAGTAGATTCACGGTCGGGGGGCAGTGTTACTGTGTGCCATCCCAAGTGAGTCATTTGCAGTGTTTATGTTTGGATGATTTGGACCGTTATGCCTACCTACTCGTGCGAACGACATGAGGGCATCTGTAACATCCACTGTGAATCAGATGGAGAGTATTTTGATGGTTACCGCATCCGCGGTATTATTGTTAACCGCGGTGGCCTACTGGATTCGAACCGCGAAACCTCTGCAGCAAGCGGCGAACGTGCCTCCACCCCCCCTCACCCCGCGTCATCGCTCCAATCACGCTCACAAACCTTGTACTGGGCTTCCACTGCTCTCGGATGGGGGGGGGGGGCAATTGTGTGTGTTTGTGTATGTTGAACTTCTTTCGCACCCTACATAGCCAACCGTGCTAATCGTTGTGTGGGTGGACCACAGCACTGATTCACACCGCTGAGGAGGAACTTGGCTGGTGCCAAAGCGAAAGTTCGGTGGTGTAGAACCCACCCAGCCACAGCAGCAGCAGCAGCAGCTTCCTGGCGCGGGTCCAGCCTGGCACTCGTTTTAGGCTGAGTCGACCTCACGGAGTGCCGAGCCCGGCTCACGAGAGGGATCACCGCCGGCGTTGTGCGCCGACGGGAATCAAACCCTTCCCGCCGTTTGAACCGTAACCGAGGGCGCCAACTCCCGTGCAGTGGCAATCGTGTGTGTGGTGTGTGTGTAGTGTGGTGTGTGTGTGTAGTGTGTGTGTCGTGTGGTGTGTGTGTGTAGTGAGGGTGCGATGTGTGTGTGCGGTGTGTGTGTGGTGTAGTGTGTGTGCGGTGTTTGTGTGCGGTGTGCGGTGTGTGTGTGGTGTGTGTGTGTTGTGTGTGTGCGGTGCGTGTGCGGAGTGTTGTGTGTGTGTAGTGTGTGTGCAGTGTGTCTGTAGTGTGTGTGCGGTGTGTGTGTAGTGTGTGTGTGTGCACATGTACAGTACGCACACACGCTCGCTGCACACGGTTTAATCAATGACTTGATGATAAATGGGAGCCGCTTTTTTCTTTCTAACGAGTGGAAAAAGCAGCGGTGTCTGGGTGCGTGACCCCCCTCCACCCACCCCGGTGCGGGGCGCCGAGCGGTGGAATTCCGCACGGGGTCCCCCGGGGTTCGAGTGGCGTTACTCGGGCCGCGCTTGCAGCCGGCGCCGGCGGCGACGGTGTTTGAGAGTTTGTGTAATTGTGTAATTAATGCTCCTCCGACGGCCGTCTCGCAGATCAATGTTGATCTTGCGCTCTCACGCCCGCTTGCGCTCTTCATTTCTCACCGCCGCTCTCGCTCTCTCTCACGTCTGTTTGTCTTGCTGCGGTATTTCCCTCCTCCCGGGGCCGTCGGGGGCCGCTCGGCGTTGGTTGTTTTCACATCGGGGATAATAAATATGCGTGGCGCCTGCGACGGGAGGCGGAGGGGGGGGTCCCGCATCTCACTGGCTGGGTTGGGGGGGAACGTGCCTCGTCTCTCCGGGCTGCACGCTCACTCCGTGACCTCTGCGTGTGACGGACGGACGTCTCGTCCACAGGATCCCTCGCGCTCACCCTTTCCGTTCGCTTGACCTCCACAAAGGTTAAGGGTTATTAGATTGAGTCAATCCGTTACCCCTGGCACGCTTGCTAGGTTGCCTCCTCGCGTGGTTGATATGTTTGAACTTCTTTCGCACCGGACGTAGCCCACAGTGCTTATTGGAGGTGCAGGTGTAGAACAACAAAAGTAAAAGTGCCGCATGATTTTGACCGTGGCCACGCGTTGCTTCGCCCTCCCCGACGTTTGAATCCGGTTCGGTGAATGAGGGCAGCCTTGGGGATCGGTGCCGATCTTCCGAACACAGCGCTCCGTCCCACGTTCTCGCCCGAGGGCCCCCGTCTGCCGAAGACGCTTCGATCGAGGTGGCCGCGATGGAACGCGGTGTGCGCAAGCGGTGCGGTACCTTGCCAAGCCGAGCGTGGGGGTTTACTTCGACACACGACAGAGACATCGGCGTCATGTCAAGAGTTTCCCTGTGGACCGAGATGCCGGTAGCTGGGACACGAGTGCGCTCGTGCGCGGCGGTGACTCCGACTCCGAGCGGGAAGCGCGGGCGCAGACGAGCAGCGACGTGCGTTCCGAATATCACCCCACACACACCGATCAACCCACGCACTAATCTCAGCGCCGCCAATCGATTAAGAAGTGCTGATCGTTCCGCTCGGAACTCGAGGGAAAGTTGCGCAAAGTTGAGCAATGCACCGAAAATCAGCCAAAAATACTATTTCACCGTTCCAAAAAACGGAAATACGTTATTTTGAGAGGGCGTCACCTGACCTGGAGAGCGAGCAAAACTGTCGGATGGTGCTCGGAGTCGGTGCAGGCCGAATACACCCAGAGAGAGGGGCTCAGCGCTCGCTCCCCGGAGGTTGTGAGTTCACATCTGGTTGGGGGTTGACTCGGCCCATAATCCCTTGGGGGTCATAAAAGCGACGCTTTTCCACAGAACATCAGTCTGTTGAGTATTTTAGGTCCCATCTTAGAACAGATCTGTGTTCGCTCGCGTACTCTCCGTCTGCGTGAGCTTTGTGCCTTTAACATTATTTTTATTTTCTTCAGTTTTACTTTTTAGGATTGGGTTATTTGATGCAAAGTGCTGTGAGGCCTTGTGTAAACGGCACTGCCTAAAATCAAGCTTTAGTTCGAGTAACACTTTGTGAGCAGTCAACAATGGTTGTCCCATAGATGAACTCGACTCCCCATAGCAATGTGGAATGTTCAGGGCCTCGAACGGTAGATGAGCACCAATGCCTCAATACTCGTCGGACGGAGAGGCACTCTTTATTTTTTTAATACGCCCATTCACGGATGACTCGATGGCAATGTTTTTCGAACCGTTGCTCCGCTGTGCACGTAGGGAGAGCTTTGTTTTTGCTCGTTCCGCTTTGAAGTCGAAAGGCGCAAGAGCCGCGGGGCATGTGAGACGTCGCCAGCGCCGCCGCCAGCCACTCGGACTCAGAGAAAATAACTTGTCTCTCGGTGACGCTCGCGTGACCACAGTGGGGAATGTGTGAACAACAGTTATTCTCTCTGGGTACAAACAAATAAACAAAAACGGCATCATGATGGGGATTGTTGGGTTGTTGTAATGGTGCATCTGTTGTTCGTGTGATGTCGTGGTTGTTATTGTCATGCAACGTGCACTGTTGTTGTTGTTGTGATGATGATGCAGCAGCATGTCTCGTGTTCCCCGCTTCAGTTTCGACGTGGAGAATGGCGTGTCGGGAGGCCGCAGCCCTCTGGACGCGCAGGCGAGCCCAGGCTCGGGCCTGGTGCTGCACTCGGCGATGCCGCACGGCGCGCGGCGCGAGAGCTTCCTCTACCGCTCCGACAGCGACTACGAGCTCTCGCCCAAGTCGGTGTCGCGCAACTCCTCCATCGCCAGCGACGTGTGAGTGGCGCGCACGCTCGCACGTGTGTGTACGCGTGTTAGCCGGATGATTCTTCTCGCTGTCTGCGCACATCCACCACCGTGGCACAAGGGGTGACCGGGCCTCTCGCTGCGAGCAGACCAGTGGCGCTGTTCTTGCCCTGATGGCGTTTGACGCAGTTTCAAACGACACGTCGCGTATCTAATTGCTAATAATAATAATCATTTACATTTCTAAAGCGCCTTTCGCCCAGAGAGAACAAGGTGCTGTACAAAACACAACACACGCAAGCTAACACCAATACAAATGATTCAAGAAATAGAAAATGCCCTTTAAAATATGTTGTGTCTTGAGGCGCGATTTCAATAAAATGAGAGAGTCATCGAAGCACATGTTCTGGGGGCCACGCGAGGTGAGGCCAGGTCGTCACCCCCTCGTCAAACACATAGGCCTGGTCACCCATCGTCGTACCAAGAGGCCAGGTCACCCCTCTTGCAGAGACGTGACCTCGGCACACACTGCGGGCCAGATTCAAAAGAGCAAAGTGCTCTTGCTGGAACACATGGGTTAAGCAGGCCCTCTATCTATGAGGGAGTAGCAACATTGAGAGCCGTTTAGGTGAGGAGAAGCATCTTGAACTCGACTCAAAACCGCACCGGCAGCCAGTGGAGAGATGCCACCATAGGGGGTCGTGTGCTCAGCAAGAGGCGTGCGCGTAAGAATTCTGGCAACCGCATTCCGCACTTGTTGTAGGTGGCTTGATGGTTTAAGGGAGATGCCAGAAAACAGCGAATTCCAAGAGTCAATTCGAGATAACGCAAAGGCATGAACCAGCTTCTCGTGTCTGATAGTTAATGGATTGGGGAGCAGCCTGGCTACATTCCTAAGATGAAAGAAAGGAAGCCTTGGTGACCTTGTTAATGTGTGCTTCGAAGGTTAATTAGGCATCGAGGACAAGTTTGAGACTGTGAACTGCCTGAGGAGCACCAATATTGTGGCTATTGATTGTCAGACCGACTGAACCGGCCTTGGATAGTTGGTGTGCGGAGACCCAACAAGCATCGCCTCCGTCTTACCAGAATTCAACTGAAGGAAATTGGATTGCATCCAAACCTTAATAGTCAAGAGAGAACTTGGCAGACTCGTCGCAAGATGCTCAAAGGGAAGATTTAGCCTGAATGTAAATGTGATTATCATCAGCATAACAATATAAGCTGAGGCAAAGTTTGCATGAAGTATGACCAAGTGGCATCATATCCGGCAAAAACTCTGTGTTCCGGTTTCGTTCGAGGGCGATGGCTGTCACTTTTTGGACACGTCGCCCCGTCTTGATGCGCAAACTCCAGCAGCAAATTGTTTCTCCCGTGCCCCCCCCTTTTCATGATCCGTGGATCAAACAAATCACTCGACGACGGTGCATGGCAGCGAAAGCAGTTTACGTGAATGCTATTGCAAGAGGTCACATGTTTGGCGGCACGGTCCTTCACCGACCATGCGTGATGAATTCATGAATGTTATCTGGCATCAATGGGGAATCGAGGGTGCCGGTTAATCAAATATGTTGGTTATCTGAGAGTTATATTTATGGTTCACCAAATTTTCAAATACATAAAACTTTTCAGGAATCAAACTAAGCCTACATTTAATTTCAACTATAATATAAAACAACAACATACTCTTTTACAGAGGTACTTACTGGTCAGTTGTAGAGCATTCTAATTTAATTGTAGAGAAACAGTGGGGCTGTTTAGAGTACAGTTCACAGTAGTACAGCATGTACAGGCTGCCGCTCAGAGCTACCATGAGAAGCGCACGACAAGATGCCAGATGGCTGTCAGAATTTTTCCGGATACTTGAAGGAAGATTTGTATTGCCGCCCATGACAGATGCCAGTTAAAAGAGCATTCCCGATGGTAAAGTGCCAGCTAACAGAGCAATCGCTCGATACACAAAGCAAGAGTGGGCCGAGGACTCTGAACCTTGAGGCATACCAAATGGAACACAACATGGATCAGGATGTTGCCCTCCAAGGTTGACCAACTGCTTTCGATGGGAGAGGTAAGAAGTGAACCAGCGGAAGGCAATACCAGAAATCCCCATGTAGCCTTCCACAATGGTGAGATGTTAACTACCTCGCCTGGTATACAGGAGGTTGTGGGTTCGATTCCGATCCTGATGCCTGTATTTGGAGTTTGCGTGTTCTCCCCGTGGTCGTGTCGATTTTTCTCCGGGTCCTCCAGTTTTCCCCACCTCATTTAGAACCGACGTGCGTTTTAGAGTATTTGCCAGCTATACATTTCCACAAGATAAGTCACTTCGTTGAGCTATCATTTGTGGTAGCCAGGTCGCTTCTGAAAAGAGCTACACAGCTCAGTGGGCCATACCTGCTAAAATAAAAATAGTTTATAGTTTTGTTTAATTACTCGAGCAGGATGGGTTGATCGATATTGCCAGAGGTAGCACTGAAGTCCAAAACAACAAGAATGCCAGTCAGGCCTACATCTGGCTGTAGGAATTGGTCTCCAACTCACCAGTGAGTGAGCCAAAACATTCAGATTCAGCTCATTGGTAAGCGGTATGCGCGCGCAACGCTAACTTCATTCAGTTGTCAGGTGGTGGAGGGTCTTAACGACACAAATTTGGCCAGATCATAACGTGGCCCAACCCAAACATCCATTGCAAATTGTGGTGTAGTCGTGCGGTCAGCTGTGAATTGCTATTGCTGTTGCGTGAAAGCTGCGTGGCTACACTGACTACTCCATGTCCCCGCGGTTGTTGTGATCCTCTATTCGAGGAATTGTGGAGCCCGCACAGCAGGTGTTCCAGCATGGCTCCAAATATTTAGGTTGTCCTGTCTGCCGCCCATTATCTACGGCGGTAGTATTGTAGAACGAGCTCAACGGTTTTTGCTAAATATTTGCTCCCAGTTTTGTTTATTACGGCCGAGGCCTCATTGTCCGCGCAGGGTGGGAGCGTACCGTGTGCGCGCGTGTGTGTGTGTGTGGAGTGATCTCCTGCCCACATGAGCATTGAGGTTGGGGAGCGGTGGTGTAGCGGTTAGCGCGCTGCGCGACAAACCAGGCGACCCGAGTTCGATTCCCGTTCACGGCCAACACCAGTGACAATTATTTGAACAGCTGCTTGACCTCCCCTGGGTCGACTCAGCCTCAAATGAGTACCTGATGTGATGTGTAAACATCGCCACTCGGGAGACAATGGCGGTCGGGCGTGGTGCTGGCCACCCACCCCTTCATGTATTGTTCCGGCCTTTGTAGGTGTTCGCTCACAGCACATGCCCCAACAGCCTGTTAAGGCTTTACGGGGGATCTTTTTCTTTGTGTTGTGAATGAAAACCACAACACCGTTACGTTGAACCACAACAACAAAAACAAAATAACAACACAGTTACATTGTTGTTGAGTTTGTTTAGCAACTAAACATTGACTTCTATCAGCGATGGGCAGAGTGATTTTGATCAAGGCTAAAACACAATGGTGGTCTTTAGCGTTTTGTTAAAAAAAATTATTCTCGCAAACTAAAAAGTCAAGTTTTTTTATAATGATGTCGATTTGTAACGCACCGCTGCACAGTATTTGCTCGCCCACCATCCCTTTCCCGGATCGATATTATAACTACCACTTCGTGGGGAAGTCATCAGTTGTGCTTCTATGGATAGACTCTCCCTGTCATAGCAACGTGGAATTTCCACCTCTGGCATGGGTATAAACAGGCGATGAGCACTACGTCAATGCTCATGTGGGCAGGAGATCGCTCTGACCTTGATACCTGAAGATGGATTTCACCTCTGGATTTGTAGTGCTGTCTCCAGTTCTGGCCACTTGTTATTGCTGCTGGTGTAGTGATCCTGCAATTCCAAGGATTATAAACAGGACTTCCCCCCTCCCACAACTTTCATAAATTAAATATTCTGTGTATTTTTCTGATAAATATCAACGCAGTGCCAACTTCACATGTCTAAAGTTAGGCGATGGAAACTTTTGGCAGGCGGCTCTTCCCCTGCGTCCTCTCAGGCTCCAAGGAAGATGAGTCCATGGATGAGATTGGGGAGCAGAGGAGCGAGGGTGGCACGTTCCTGGTGGGGCGATCGGAGTGAGGAGTCGTGGAATGGGTGGCCTGCTGTGGGGGAGAGGAAGAGTTCTTGGTGGTGCGCTCGAGTAATGTGATCGGTGACAAGGATGGCTACAATGTCGCAATGGGATAGATGACACCGAGTGTGTGTTTATACGAGGGACCTTTGTCTTTGATACTGAGAATGAGGAGGAGATTCAGTAACTAGAGACAGTCAGGAGCAAAGGTGAGAGGAGCAACGGTGGTGGGGAGTTGGGATGATGGTCCACGTGGATTTTGTGATCGTCGGCGACGATGACTGTGGCGTGGTTGACGAGTCCCAGTCTGGAAGCGGTGAACTGAGCACCCACGCGCGTTGCCTCGACACCCGCCGACTGAGCAATCCGCGGATGAGCACGGTGGCTCGAGCTCACTGCACCTGCCTGCGCGTGCTGTTTCAGAGCCACGCGCGCGATGGAAACACCCCCATTGTTGGAGGTCTTGTAAACATCGCGCTATATACGCTGCGAACACTGTCCATTTATTTACCCTGGAAGAATAGGCAGTGGTAATTCAAAGCCTACGTCAGTCGACTGCGGGATGGATCTCCCCATTTGTCAGTCGTGGCATTTGTTTGATCATACTTCATCGCGCTGGTCGATATGGGTTGGTGAAGGGGTGGGGGGGGGGAGCCAGGACAGGTTCAGATATCGCTCAACACCGACAGTGGCCGTGGCCAGAAATCGAACTTATACCACTAGGTTCACAGTGTGTGCCAACGACTTTGCCACCGCTCCCCGCCCTGCCCGTGAGAGAACACCACCTCTGGCTGACTCCAGCGGTGCAGGCGGAGTGATGGAGTGATATGAGCAGGTGATGACGCCGGGAGCCCGACTCTGTTAGAGCCATGGCCGTTGTCGCTCACGCGCGGGGAGCACCCAAAGCCGGCTGC